AAAAATAAAATCGCAGGGCCTTCCCACCTCCCAGGAGCACCCTCCCCTGTAACAGGGTGAAAGCCAAGATGCTCTGTTGCTCAGGTCAGTCCCTACTACACATATGCAGTTGTGATTCTGAATGTTGGTGAGGGAGAGGGGGAAAAAAAAGGCCGTTACTATGGCAACCCAGGCTCGCTCAGCCTCTGGGATCAGTCCAACACGCAGGGAAAGAAGGTGGGGTTTAGAGTCAGAACAAACATGGCCGGGCTGTCTGACCTCGGGCGAGGCACTTAGCTTTTCTCTGCCTTGGTTTCTACATCTGTAAAATGATGCTGAAGCCCTTTATTGTACCGCCTCCAGGATTAACCAGGACTTATCGTGAACTGTAAAACATGGAAGGAGGAGCGCGGCCCTGGCTTTGGTTTGTCTCCAAATTGCTGTGTGTGACTTTGGGCAAATCATTTAACCTCTCTGTGCCTCAGCTGCTCTATTTGTAAATGGGAAAATAATGTCCCCTGTGATGACTTCCCAGGCATATTGTCAGGCACCCGTAAGAATCCTGGAATCTCCACGTTGGAAGGAATCTCCGCACTCAGGCAGGAATCCCTTTGAGAAGTTCTCTGACTGAGGCACTTGTCCCACCTCTGCTTGATTACCTCCACTGGCAGAGAGCTCATAACCGCTCAACTTCCCAAATAACCATTGCTACATAACACTAATTGTAAGAAAGTTCTGTATAGGATGTTTTACAGTTAAATATTCATTTTTTAAAGGTTAGCAATCCTTTTCAGAGCTATTGCTGCTTCTAATTTCGCCAAAGGGCTTGCACAGGGTAGAAATTAGCAGCAATTGGCTAGGAGCAGGTACAGGTCCGGCTCTAGAAGCCTGTGGCTTAGTGTCATGAAAGGAGTATGGGTTCTGGGGTCACACGCTCTAGGTTAAAATCCCACTTTGTTCACTTGCCAGGCGGTTGACCTTGGGCAAGTTATATTATCTCCCCAAGCCTCAGTCCCCTGATAGGTGAAATGAGGCTAGAAATGCCTACCTCATAGTGTTGCTGTGAGAATCTGGCATGATAGCAGTTCTCATCGAGCTTACGGCCCTAACTTCCCCAGGGGAATTCTGGGGACTGGGGTGGGGACAGGTTACACCTTCCTCTGCAATCCCTTTAACAATACATTTGCCCTCCAAGCCCCATCTGGCACATGTAGGCCCTCATATGACCTGGCTGTGCTTCTCTCAGAAAGAGGGAGAAGGTTCCTCTCCCAGTCCTGGAGACACCTGCAGCTTGGCCTGGCATGGCTTGTGCTCCGTACCTCATGGCCTTCTCTCTCTCTGGCCTGTGCCAGGGCCTCTAAAGGGAAGATGGATGCAATGGCTTCAGGATCACCCCTCCCTGTAAGTCACCTGCCTCAGGGCCAGTCCCCCTTCCCTGCCCACAGATTTGGTGGACACTAAGCAAAGTGTCACAGGGTGTCCCGTGGTGACGGCTTTCAACTGTATCCGTGTTTTAATAGGAATCTCATATGAGGCAAAAAACCTCCGAGACCCCAAAAGAATGTAGTCTGGTGGTAGATTTCCAGGCAAGTTGGGGAAAGATATTGTGGGGTAGGCAAGTGGTCCTTTGTGCTCAATATGAAAGGGGTCAGGATGCTTGGGTCTAGTTCTGCCATCGACGAGCTGTGGGTGTCTGGAGCCAGTGACTTAATTCTGTGCCTTGCTTTCCTCGTGTGCAGAATGACAGGTCGATTCCTGAGACCAACCCTGCTTCAGAATTCTAGGGGTTTCCCATCTTTTGGATGCAGGATGAGGTGGCCAGCTGCTGACCTGCCCTCTCCTCTCTGCTTCCTCCACAGATGAGTACCTCAGAGTCCTCAATGTAGGTGTCGCGGAGGTGAAGAAATCCTTCCTGGGGCCCTTGTCACCGTCCTGCAAGATGGTGCAGATGATGCGGCAGTTTCTGTACAGGGTCCTGCCGGAGGACTCCTACAAGGCGGCCACAGGGAAGCTCCACGTGTCCCTCACTCGCTTCACAGATGGAGAGAGTGTCGTGGTTTCAGAGTACACATCCAAGGAAGAGCTCATCGAGGCAAGGGGCGGGGCCCAGGGTGCAGGAGCCGAAGAGGGGGTGGGTCCCAGTTTGTGGAAACAGCCCCGCATTCTGTCCCCTCCCATCCAATGGCTCTTGATAAAAGGACTGAATTATCACCAAATGGGTTATCATGCAGGAATGGGGGCTCTGTGCACCATTCTGTGCTCATTAATATAAATCTTAGTTGTGAATTATTATTGTTGGCAAGTGCTGTGGATATGCCCAGTTTTCTTTCAGGACAAAAGGGTTAAGTGGCATGACCCTTGTCCCATACTTCCACTCCTCTCTCCTCTCCCCAATACAAGGCCCTTACCACGTAGCCTCACAGCCCCATGCTGGCATGGCCATGATCCTGGGGGTGGGGAATGGATGGGCAGTGGGCATGGACACCTCCAAAACCTACCTCATGTCCCCCTGGATTTATTAGCACTCAGCTCTTCAAGACTTTTCTCTCCCAACCACCTCTTATCAGCTCCCGCTCTTACTTCTGCAAACCAGAGCAAGCCACACACAAAGCAGACCTTTGGATCTTTGCACCTGCTGTGCCTTCTGCCTGGAATGCCCCTCCCTCCTTCCCAGCTCACTTCACCTGCTTGACAAGACTCTAGTCACTCTTCCTGGCAACTTCCCTTCATCATCTGCCTGCCCCGCGCCCTCCTGGTTTGGGTACTCCTCCTTAGAGGCCACGATGCCCATGCTCACCTCCATCCCAGCCCTTGTCATCCTGTGTACTATCACCTACTTGCTTACTCTCCCTTGCTGAGCATTCCCAAGGGTACGTATCTCACTCTCCTTTGATCCCAGAGCCCGGCCCTGGCCAAATACACATTAATGGTTGTTAAATTCCACTGGATTCATGGAGATATGGTGCCAGAAGGAGCCCTGGAGGTCACTGAGGCTGCCTTGTCTCTTTAAAGTTGGGATATCGGGCCCAGACTACCAAGTAGGTTAACGAGGAACCAGCTCGTTGGGGCCAGGCCAGGACTTGAACTTGGGGCTCCGCTCCCCAGGACAGTGCCTCTGCGTTGGATTTAAGAAGGACCCGGCTGGTGGTGGCCCAGAGGCCTGCCGGTGAGCTCTCCCCACCCAGCCGCCAGAGCCTCACACATCTCCACCGGTTCTCTCCCCACAGGCCCTCTACTGCAGCTGCTTTGTCCCCGTGTACTGTGGCCTCATCCCCCCAACTTACCGTGGTGTGGTGAGTGCTTTGGCATGGGAGAGGGTGAGCCAGGACCCGGGAGTGCCCTGTGGTCCACATCTGGGAGAGTAGAGGGGTGGTCTCAGAAATCAGTGGGAAGACCAAGAATTGGAAAGATTCTTGTGTTTTCTACTTAGAATTCCCCGTATAGATGGATTTCTGGGGCTTTCAGATGAACTTTCCCTCCATACATTGGGCTTCACTCTGTGCCCACCAGCCCATTACTGAGCCTGGCTAGTCAAGACCCCATAGGCTTGCTGGATTTTCCCATACTTGACAGAGAGTGTAGAATACGGACCCTGTGACATTGGTACCTGGAACCGTGAATGATGGCGACCTTTAAAGTCATCTAGGCTAGTGTACTTGAATCACCAGTGGGGGAGGGGATCTTGTAAAATAATGCAAATTCTGATCCCCTAGGCCTGGGGCGGGGCCAGAGGCTCTGCACCTCCAACCAGCTTCAGCTGACGCCGGAGGCCAGTGCTGCTGGTCCTCAGACCAAGCTCTGAGTAGGAGGATTTACCCATGCCCCTTCCTCGTTTTATATAGAAAGAAAATGAGATCCAGAAATCAGGATTCAGCTAGGAAATGGAGCACATACTGTGCATGTCAGCTGTGTACTTCTCAGGCATCCCAGAGAGTTAGAACCTCAGTACCTGTGATCCTTTGTTCACAACTGAGGCAACAGAAGCCACAAGAGGGAAGGGCTATGTGGTGGATGGTGGCCAGGCCATGGTCGGGGTGTTCTGGAGAGTGCTGAGGATACCCGACCTCAACAGAGGGAGGCAGTTTGGACCCACAGCAGTCTGGAAGAGGGGATATTTCCCAACCTGCTCAGACCCACCATGTGTTCACCTTCTCAAAAGGCCATGGGCACAGGCTCCATTCCCCCACCCTGCCCTTGGTAGTTGAGTGGCTGAGGAGGGGTAGCCTGGGAGGGGGAGCTGTGACAGGAGAGCATTTGCTTGTGCTTTATCCAGAGTATGAATGGCCCTCTCCCCCCAGGCTCAGCACCACTGAGATGGCTGAGGGGAGACAGTGTAGGGACAGAGCACTGGGCTGGGAGTTCAGGGGCCATGGTGGACACACAACTCACCCACCTGGACCTTGGCCTCAAGGCTTGTCCCAAGGGACCCATTTCCTCGCTGGACTCCCTGAGTGGGGAAGAAGACCTCTGACCCCATGAGCATTTACGACTCTGCCTGTCCCCCATAGCGCTACATTGACGGGGGCTTCACAGGCATGCAGCCCTGCTCCTTCTGGACTGACGCCATTACCATCTCCACCTTCAGCGGGCAGCAGGACATCTGCCCCCGGGACTGCCCCGCCATCTTCCACGACTTCCGCATGTTCAACTGCTCCTTCCAGTTCTCGCTGGAGAACATCGCCAGGATGACCCATGCCCTGTTCCCGCCGGACCTGCTCGTGAGAGGAGGGGCCCGGAAGGGAGGGGGACCGGGGGAAGCTGACAGAGCCTGGGGGAGCCACTGGGGTCCATGCAGTTCCGTCTGTGTCTCCTTAAACTTCCTCCTAAACCTGTATCCTGGCCTTGCTGCTAACCTACCTATGTGACCTTGAACGAGGCCCCTAAGTGCTCCCAGCCTCAATTTTCTCCCCTGTAAAATGAGATGATGTCAGAACTGCTGATAGGATGTTACCTGAAATTTTCCACTCTGACATGCGATGTAGGCTTCAGCAAGTATGGCCCATGGGCCAAATCCAGCCAGTGGCTTGTGTTTTGGGTTTTGTTTTCAATTTTATTTATTTTACTTTTTTAAAAAAATATTTTATTTATTTATTAGAGAGAGAGAGAGAGCGCATGAGTGAGGGGGAGGGGCAAAGGGAGAGGGAGAAGCAGACTCCCCACTGAGCAGGGAGCCTGACTCGGAGCTCAATCCCAGCACCCTGAGATCATAACCTTTCCAAACCTGCCCCAAAAAATTAAGTCTACATGTCTTAACAAAATGCATGTCTTTCTTTGGCAAGAAGTGTGATCTTGGGAGTAAGCACCAAGTTTTACTCATTTCTTTGACTACACTCACTGTGTCTACAGAGGGCATTGCTTATAGAAGGTTCTTAGTAATTGTTGTTTGAATAACTCCTCTAAGCCAGTTTTGTGACTTACAGTCTAATTATTGTTTACAAAACTCATAATCAAAACACTATTATGCTTAGTCAGGCAATGGATACACAAGATATTTTATTAATCTGATTGACTCTTTGTCCTCCAACTGTTGCGTTAGGAATTCCGGCATCTGCCTACACTAATTTATCAGTAAAGATTATGTCTATTTACCCTCATAAAAGCAATCCATCAATAGGCAGTTCAAGAAAGGTAGAACAAATATATTGTAGTCATCAGAGCCTCTCAAACTTGACTTTCTGCTCACAGTCAGTGCTTGACTTTCATTCTCAAGGTGGCTTGTTTTTATATAGCCTGTGAGCTCAGAATGGGCTTTCCATTTTTAGAGGTTTGTAGAAGTAGAAGAAAGAGAAGGAGAAGAGGAAGAAGGAAAAGAGGAAAAGAAGGAGGAGGGGGGAAGAAGAAGATGATGAAGAAGGAGGAGAAGAACAAGAAGAACAAGAACAAGAAGAACAAGAAGAGACAGACTATCTGTGGTGTTCAAAACCCCAAATATTTACTATCTGGCCCTTTATGGAAAGGCTTTGTGAGCAATATCTCATGTAACCCTCCAGCATCCTCTGCAGTAGATACTGTCGTTATTCCCATTTTAGAGGTGAGGAAACTGAGGCCGTGAGAGGTTACAGCCACACAGCCAACAAGTGGCAACACTGGGATTTGAAGCCAGTCTCCAAACTCGGCTCTTCATATGGCCCAAATGCACCTTCTCTGATTCTACTACAAACATCTCACCCTCTCTGGCCCAGGGGAAGCTGATGACCAGCTGTAAATGATTTAACACATTATTGCACCGTCCCTTTGGAGACACGATCAGTAACTGCTCCCCACTTCTTAGCAGATAGTGAGGGATGGGACACTGGATGGTACATTTTTAAAAGTCCATCAAATAAAGCTCAAGGGCAATGAAAGGAGCTGCTCTGGGTGAGGGGACCTCGGCTCTCTCCACTGCTGCAGACTTAGTCATTGTCCCGCTGTCCCCTCCTTGCAGATCCTGCACAACTACTACTACCGAGGATACGAAGATGCTGTTTCCTACTTGAGGCGTTTGAGTAAGTACGCGGTGGGGCCCCAGGAAGGGGTGGGCTGGGGGCGGGGCTAATGCCGGAAGTGGAGACTGAGTCGAGGAGCATTCCCTTCGGATTTGTGAACTGGAGACGCCCTTCCCCAGGAGGGCCGGAATGGCGCAAGGACCCGGCAGCTTGCATTGTCCCGGACAGCCCACGGTGGCCAAAAATTAGGATCTTCTTGGAAAAGTGATTTTCAGGGTCACTGCTGGGACAGTGGGTAGGTTTTTGTACAGATACCTGTCTGGATTTAAGGACTGCGTTTAGGAAACACATAGCTCGTATCTTCCCGGAGAATTCCGTTTTCATGTCATTTCACTTTATTTATTAACAATCGCGTTGTTAACGTAGAACCAGACATGACTAGTTTATACTCGCGTAAGACTCTGAGTGACAATGATCAACAAATGAGAGGGAAGAGCCTGTGCCTTGTGTTGGTTTAGCAAGTGTGGTCCCTACAACCCGCACGTCTTCTGTGCATTCTTGCGTGGGAGATTCCCGTGGCAGGTATTGCACACGCTACCTCATTGAAGACCATGGCAAACATCCTCGATAAAAGGGAAGGAAAAAAGCTTTTCCATACTTAGAATTGTTTCCATAGAACGTAGTTCCAGAAAAAAGGATTCCTGGACTGGAGGGTGTTTACCTAATGCTGTATGAAGTGTTTTTTTTGTTTCCCATGTTGTCATGTGGTCTTTGTGACTGTCTTTTTTGGCAATCGTGTGCTAGTCCATCACAGTTGTACAGAAAACTTTGATCATTCCTTTGAGTTTCCAAATGCTCACTGTTCTAAGCAATGCTGTGGTGAACTTTTTGTGTACGTAGTTCAAAAGAAATATATTTTAGCAGTGAGATTTATGAGATTGAATGTGGGTTTTTCCCTAGGATGTGTTGACTCCTTTTCCTTCAAAGTTACTTCCTGCATTCCCAAACTCCCTTTGTCTTGACTCTTTCCTTTCTCCTGGGGCCATTCTCCGAACAGGGGAGGGGGTGGGCAGGAGAGAAGGATGGAAGGAATGTGGGTACTGGAGGCCAGTAGGCCTGGGCCAGGATTCTCATCCTCCCTGGCTGTGTGAACTCAGGGAAATCACTTGCCCTCTCTGTCTTGGTTCCTAATCTGTAAAAAGGGTTAAATCCTGGTTCCTGACACCTACTAACTGTGTGATCTTGAGCAGGTAATTCATCTCCTGGGACTTCGGTTTTTTCATCTGTATAATGGGGCTGATCATGGAACCCACCTCAGAATTTTATTCCTAGACACAGTCAGTGCAGCCCACTGACCCTCTGACCTGGAAGACAGGCCCCTCCTCTCACCTTTCTGCAGGACAGACTCCTCCTAACCCTGACTCTACTCGGACAGCATCCCCCCCTCCTCCTGCACACTGACATGGGTGACAGCTGTGAAAACTAAGATCCAAGTGTCCAAAAGGAGGAGCACCCGAGGGGTGTCAGTGGGGGGTTGACATGGGGTCTCACCTACGGAGCCTCAGGAAGGGGAGGGGCTGGCGAGGACCTGGGGTCCTTTCCACCCCCAGCCGGGAAGCCCCTTCACTCTTTCCTCAGTGATGATGTGTACTGGGGACATGGGGCTGGGGGATCCCCTGATTTGGGACCAATTCTATGCCTCAGGAAACCCCTCTACACCTCAGGTTCCAGCCTGGCTGCCTGGTTACCACCGTACCTGTCTCTCCCCTAGAACTTCTTTCTCTTCCTCTCAGGGCAAGCCCTGGGGAGAATTACAAAGTGCCTTGCTTTAGCATCTCTGGTCTCCCCCAATTCTCAGTAGCCCCTGGGCCAGCCTCTGGGGGGAACCCAGTGCAGGCTCGCGCTCCCCCACCCTTCCACCCTTAGCTGATGTGGACTCCGTGGTATACATGGCGGTCTTAAACCCAAGGATGAGGCTCTAATAGGAGCATTTCGGGCATTCACTAAAGAATCAGCGCAGTGCATGGAGGATGGTGGGCTTTTCCAGGGGCCCTGGAATCACTCCAAGGAGGAACTGACACAACTCATCAGGAAGAAAATGTCTCCTGCTGGCTACCAGCTAGTTTTGATTCCTCTTCCGATTTGCCAGTGTTTGCATCGCTCTCTCAGTGCAGGTTTCTTCAGTCCCACCCCTAAATCCCCTCGGGTTTGATAGGGCTGGATTTTCCTCTCGGCACCAGATGCGAGCGGGAGGTATGACGCATCCTGAGAAATTGCGACTGGTGCCCAGAGCCACACTCTTAATTCCCACCTGCCATCTGGGAACAGAAAAATGGGAGTCCGCTCCAGCCTCCCACCCTACTGCTTTCTAGATGGGGGTCAGCTCTGGCAGAAGGCCACACCCGCAAAGTGTCACCCTCAATTCCTCAACTCACATCCTGACGTCCCCCTTCTCTGCCCTCCTCAGGGCTCACATCTGCCTAATGATTCCAGGTGAGCTTCCCTCTCCACCGTTGGCCTCCCCTGGCAGCAGCCTTCTGCCAAAGGGAAGGGCACTGCTTGTTGGCATGCTTGAAAATCCGCATTCCCCACACAGACATGTGGATGTGGGCGTTGAGTGAGGTTGGAGCTCAGAGGATGCCATGTCTAAAATTATCCATCTGGCATCCAGGCGTGCCTGGCCAGGCCTGCCTGCCTTCCTTCCTTCCTCCTTTCCTCCCTTCCTCCCTCCCTTCCTCCCTCCTTCCCACTCTCCTTCCCTCCTTCCCTCCCTCTCTTCCTTCCTTCCTTCCTTCCTTCCTTCCTTCCTTCCTTCCTTCCTTCTTTCCCTCTTGGCATTCCTCCTTCTCTTGCACCCTTCCTCCCTCTCATAATTTAAGTTCCCCCCCAACACACACACACCCCTGTGAAACCAACACCACATTCAAGAGAGTGAACCATCATCCATCATGCCCAAAGTTTTCCTCATGCTCCTTTGTGACCCTTCCCAACTTCCCCCAGTGCCCCTAATCTACTTTCTGTCGTTATAGAAATTTCCAGTATGGACTTCCAGTATGGGCTCTGTTTTGTCTGCATTCTTTCACTCAGTATAATTATGCTGAGATTCATCATGTTATTGCATGTATAAATAGTTCATTCCTTTTTGCATTCCATTCCATTTATGAAAACCCCACTGTTCATTTCTCCATTCACCCATTAATGGACATTTAGGTTGTATCCAGTTTGGGCTATTATGAATAAAGCTGCTGTATGAACATATGCTTTCATTTCTCTTGGGTAAATACCTAGGAGTGGAATGTCTAGATGGTATGGTGGATGTACATTTAATCTATATTTATGTAATATACAATTATATATATGTATAATCAGGGTAAAACACATAACATAAAATTTACCATCTTAACCATTTTTTAAAGATTTTTTATTTTTAAGTAATCTCTACACCCAACATGGGGCTTGAAGTCACAAACCTGAGATCAAGAGTTGCATGCTCTTCCAACTGAGCTAGCCAGGTGCCCCACCATCTTAACCATTTTTAAGTGTACAGTTCAGTATTGTTAAGTACATTTACATTGTACAACCAATCTCCAGAACTTTTTCTTCTTGCAAAACTGAAACTCTATACCCATGGATCAGCAGTTCCTCATTTCTCCCTCTCCGAGGCCCTGGCTGCCACCACTCTATTTTCTATTTCTAGGAGATGGACTACTTCAGATACCTCGTATCAGTGGAATCATACAGTACTTGTCTTTTTGTGACTGGTGTATTTCGTTGTTGTAATGTCCTCCAGGTTTATCCATTTCATAGCATGTGACGTACCCCTGTGTACATACCACATTTTCTTTATTAATGAACAATTTGAATTGCTTCTTCCTCTTGACCATTGTGAATAATGATGCAATGAACCCAGGTATGCAAATATCCTATTTTCAATTCTTTGGGATATATACTAAGGACATATACGAAGAAGGTATGTTTAACTTTTATTGTTTTTTGAAGTGGTTGTACCATTTTACATTCCCACCAGCAATGCATGAGAGTTCCAGTTTCTCCCTATTATCACCAACACCTGTAATGGTCAGTCTTTTTAATTTTAGCCATGTGAATAGTTGTGCGGTGGTATCTTACTGTGATTTTAATTTGTATTTTCTTAATGACTAATGATGTTGAGCATCTTTTCACTTGCTTATTAGTCATCTATATATTTCTTTGTTGAAGGGTTCAACTCTTTCGGTCATTTCCCACCTAGCCATTTAATAAGCTTTATTTTTAAGAATCGTTTTAGGGGCGCCTGGGTGGCTCAGATGGTTAAGTGTCTGCCTTCGGCTCAGGTCATGATCCCAGAGTCCTGGGATCAAGCCCTGCATTGGGCTCCCTGCTCGGCGGGGAGCCTGCTTCTCCCTCTCCCTCTGCCTGCCATTCCCCCAGCTTGTGCTCTCTCGCTCTATCAAATAAATAAATAAAATCTTCAAAAAAAAAAAAGAATTGTTTTAGATTTACAGAAAAAAATATGAAAATAGTATGGAGAGCCTCCATGTATTCCACATTCCCTATTATTATGTCTTACATTTGTTAGAAGTTATAGTATGGTACATATAAAATTCGGTATATAGTATAATGTAGTGTTTACAACCAATGTACTAATATTGGTTATTATTAACGGAAGACCATATATTCAGATTTCCTTTGGCCATTGGAAGCTTTTTTTGGTGGGCTCTTTTACCCATCTTAAAAATTGAATTGTTTGTTTTCTTATTTAAGAGATTTTATGTATTCTAGATAAATGCCCTTTATCTGAAATATAATTTGCAAATACTTGCTCTCAGTCTGTGATTTCTCTTTTCAATTCCTTAACAGTTTTCTAAAAAGGAGTTTTAAATTTTGATGGGGCCCATATTATTAATTTGCTTTCTTTATGGATCATGCTTTTGGTGCCTTACCTAAGAAACCTTTGCTTTACTCAAGATCACAAAAAGGTTTTCTCCTATGTTTCCTTCTAGAAGTTTTATAGCTTTTTGGTTTTTCATTTGTGTCTATATTCCATTTTGAGTTAATTTTTGAATATGGTTCAAGATATAAAGCAAGGTTCTTTTTTTTTTTTTTTTTGCATATGGATGTCCACTTCTTCCAGCATTGTTTGTTGAAAAAACTATGCTTTCTCTATTAAGTAAAGTCAGTTGTCTCTATATGTTATGGGTCTATTTCTAGACTTTCTGTTTTGTGCCATTGATCTATTTGTCTGTCTTTAGGTCAATATCATACTGTCTTGATCCCTGAAGCTTTATCGTAAATCTTGATACCAGGTCGTCTTAGTTTTCCATCTTTGTTTTTTTTTTTTTTTCTTTCAAAGTTGTTTAGGCTATTCTAGGTCCTTTCTAATTCCATATGAATTTTAGAATTAGCTTGTGAATTTCTACACAAAATGCAGTCATCTGTACTTGTCTTGGCAACCTATTCTCTCCTCCTCTGCAATCACCACCTCGAGACTTCCCCTCTCCCTGATCCCTAGGCGAGGACCTTGCCTCCAAACAACTTCACAGAGAAAAGCAAAACCAACAGAGAGAAGTTCTCTCAACTTTGTGCTACCGAATATACAAACTCAGCCAGCTCTGTTCCCTCCTTCTTAGAACATTAAAGGAAGCAACCCTCTTCTTGCCTAAAGCCCACCCCGTACCTGTGCTCAGACCCCTTCCCATCTCAGCACTTTTGAATTATCCATTATTTCATCTCTCTTTTACGTATCCAACCCCCACCTCTCAAATGGATCCTTACCAGCATTTTGTAGGTCTACCCCAGTCTTGCCTATTTTAGCAACTTGGCCTGGGTTCCCCTCTTCCCCTCTCCTCGCTCAGTCCTGGCACCCTCCTCTTCTCATTCTGCTTTTCCTCCCTAGGCAATCTCCTCCATGGCCACCATCACAGCTTCAGTGACCATCCATAGATGGGCTCCCAAATGGACACCTCTAACCTTCATCTCTTCTCTGAGATCCAAACCCATCTATCCAACTGCTCACTTGTCATCTCTCCTTGGACATCTCTAAGACCCCTTAAAATCCATATATCCCCAAACAAACTATAAACTGGGCCCTCCCCACTGCTCCCCTAACCCATCCCCTCCATGGTCACCCTGTCAGCACCAACCTCCACCTGGTTGTGCAAGCCAGCTACCTCCTCTCTTCCCCCAGTCAATCCATTGCCAATTCTCATTTATTTTACCTCCTAAACAGAGTCTTCTATTTCTTTCTCTCTCCTTCCAGGTGCAAGCCCTAAATACCTCTTCACAGCAGCCTTACAGGTTTCCCTGGGTCCCCTATGCCCTTCTCAGTGAGTCTCCACACAGCAGCCACAGTGATCTTGTCAAAGCCAGAGACAGAGCAGCATCCCCACTGCCAATAGGTGTTTCATGGCCTCTGTGAAAACCAAGGGCCCTCAGTGGTGTCTACAAGCATGGTCGGGCCCCTGTGGCCTCCTCAGCCCCATCTCTCACCACAGTGCCCCCACCCTTGCTCCAACCACACTGACCTTTCAGGTCCTCCTCATGCTCCCTCAAACCTGTGGCATTGGTGTGTGCTGTTCCCTCTGTCTGAAATGCTCCGCCCCATCCCACCCCGACCACCCCCTGGACCCTCACTCGCCCTTCAGATCTCAGCTCAAACGTTGCTTCCTCAGGGAAACCCTCCCAAAGTAGTCCTCCCTGCTTCCTTCTCTCCTAACATCATGTTCCTTTCTCGCCTACAACATGTCTTGGTTAAAACGAGATTATTTGGGTAGTCATTGCCTGACCCCAAGCCAGACTGTAAGCTCCAAGAGGCCAAGGACCATCACACCTGTTTTTGTCCCCTTCACTCCTCAGTGCCTGGTATAATGCCTGGCACATATAGATGCTCAATAAATATCTGTTGAATAATGAATCAATACACAATCAAATACTCAATATAAATTTGAGTAAGTAAAGAAAGACGAGTGAAAAGCACTAATCCTGCTTATGAAAATAATTTGAGAAATCACTTTTTGCAGATGCCACGCTGATGCCAGGGGTTAGTAATGCCACCTGTGACCCCACGCTGTTGTTTTCCTAGATGCTGCTTACCTCAATTCTCCCTCCAAGAGAGTGATGTTCCCCCGTGTAGAAGTGTACTGCAATATAGAACTTGCCCTTGGCAATGAGTGCCCTGAACGCAGCCAAACAAGCCTCCAAACGGAGCAGGAAGAATCCATACAACCTCACACACAGTGGGCTCCTGAAGGGGAAGGAAAGTGCAGCCACGGTCCACTTGTGTCCTCACCTGTGCAGACACCTGAATCCACACACGAGTGGCCTGCTGAGTCACCTGTTTCACCACCTGTCTCTTCATTTGAGCAGTCACCTGCATCTCCACTGGCCTCATTACCATCACATTCCCCATCTGACTTGCCCCCTCTCTCACTCCCAGCTGTGCCCTTACCACTCAGCTCCACAGCTGTGCTGTCACGTGTATCAGCACAGCAGCGGGTACAAACGACTGGATCACCGCCAAGATCCCCACCCTCCCCGGCATCTCTGTCACCCAGGCCATCCCTGGGGCCTTCATCTGTAGGGGCATCTCAAACACTGCCCCAGTGTTCTCCTTCAGCGTCATCTGCACAGCCACCTGTGGAGGAATTGGGCCCAGAACAGCCCCAAGGTATGGACCCTTCTGGCTTCTCCCAGCTTCCTTATGTCTGGAGCCCCTCAGTAAGTGTGCCACAGCATGGGAGCTGATAACCATTGCTTTATTATTTTTGTATTATGTTCAGTTAACCAGCATATAGTACATAATTAGTTTTTGATGTAGTGTTCAACAATTCATTAGTCTCATATAACCATTGCTTTAGAGGGGTGCATTGGTAAAGTTAGCACTTAGCTTTAGCGGTTCTACCTATTTTGAGGATAGGCCACCAAAAGGGGACAGTATTCTTGACATTTGTTCATGTCTCTAGTCCGGTGATTTTCAAAGGTTGGTCTCTGGCCAACAGCAAACACATCACCTGGGAACTTGTTAGAAATGAAAATTCTCAGACCCTACCATAGACCTCCTAACTCAGGGGGGTGGGACCCAGCTATCTATCTTTTTTTTTTTTAAAGATTTTATTTATCTATTAGAGAGAGAGAGAGAGAGCACAAGCAGGGGGAGTGGCAGGCAGAGGGAGAAGCAGGCTACCAGCATAGCAGGGAGCCTCCTGCGGGGCTCGATCCCAGGACCCTGGGATCATGACCTGAGGCAAAGGCAGACGCTTAGCCGACTGAGCCACCCAGCTGTCCTTCTATCTTTTTATAAGCCCTCCAGGGGGTTCTTTTGAGAACCATGATTGAGAACCACTATACCAGAAGGTTTTTATTATTTGTGATAACCACTGTGCCAGGGCCGAGCTACTCAAAGAATGCTCTGTGAACCAATGCTGGTCCCCAAACTATTTGTTACTAATTTACAATGAAATGAGCACAGAGGTTGAAAGTAAGCATTTAGAAATGTTTATAGCCATGACATCCAAGAGCTTGGTCATTTTCCTACTAATTCATTGTATTGTATTTCACAAAAGTACTAGTACATTATGGTTTCCAAAAAAAGATTTTAAAAAGCTGGTTCTTCACAACTGGTATCTTCTACAGATCTGCTCTAGAGGCTTCAAAGCTAAACAATTCTCAGCTCCTCACTCTCAGGAACTTTCCCCTCCAGCAGAGGGGATGACAGAGATACCAACCTCAAAAATACAGCACAAATTATTAAGTACTACATTACTAAGAAAAACAGAGTGTTGGAAGTATTCATAGAGGTTAAGATCACTTCTCTCTGGGGGTTTAAGGAAGGCTTCTTGAAGGTGCAGGTGAGTTGAAATGGGCACGATTTTGCCACCTCACTCTTGTCTCCTCTATTTTTACTTTTGACTGTAGCTCCCCTTGCCTCTTCAAATCTGAAAGGCGCCATGTCCTTGGTTAATGTGAAGGAAACCACCAGCAAGCCTCGTGCAATGTAAGTTTCTCCTTAATTAGGGACACATTCTTTCCTTTGGCCAGAGAAGGGGGGCCAAGCTAAGGGAAATTTTCCTTCTTTTTAGCTGTCCTAGGAACACTGGGATCCTTTTCCGGTTTGTGTGATTACAGTCCACCCCTTTACACTTCTCTATTCTTCAGTGGGGGCACTGAATGGGAAATGAGCTATTTGTGCTCACAATGTCATTCTCGTCAGCTCCTTCCTGTGCATGCTAGGGAATGCACCTTCTCTGAGTGCAGTGGGAGAACATGCACCCCCTTGTGTCTCACTCTCCGGTGGTGTCTCAGTTCAAGGGAGTTAGCAGGCATGTTACATCCTAGCTTGAGGTATCCTATTTCCTGCATGGTGTGAATTGTGAGACCCTGTCAAAGGCCTCCTTTAATCCAAATTATTTTCTATCAGCACAATAAGCGAGCTAATATTCCTATGTTATAGATTGTCCCCAGAAAATCTTTTTTATAATGCACATCAGTTGTCTGGGTTGTGTGACAAGTTCTCCATTACTTACCTTCACAGTCATTCTGAGAGGGCCTGAAGATTGTTGTTGTTTTTTTTAAGATTTATTTTTATTTATTTTTTAGAGAGAGAGCACATGAGTACGGGGGTGGGGAGGGGTGGAGGGGTGGAGGGGCAGAAGGAGAGAGAAAGCGCGTCCTAAGCAGACTCTGCAATGAGTGCAGAGCCCCACGCAGGGCCCAATCTCATGACCCTGAGATCACAACCTGAGCTGAAATTAAGAGTCGGATGCTCACTCGACTGCGCCACCCAGGTGCCCCAGGATTGATTGGTATTTTTTTAAGTTCCTTGGGGACCATATTACCCGGGCTCCCTTGCTGGCTTCTTGCCAGTTGGGTTAGCCAACGGAAGGCACCAGCAGGAGATCAGAAGGTGGGTCAAAGAGTATCTCTCCCCTCCCCAACCTCATCTCTCCTCCCTTGGGGCAGTTCTGGCAGTGGCTGGGGTTCTCCATGGCCACAGCTGCAGCTATTGGGAGAGCAGGTCCTTTTGATGTTCCACCTCCATATCATATCAAATATATTAAAACATACCTGCTTCTCACATTAAGTATAATTTTAATTATAAAACTTTTTGAAAGAGTTTGCGTAAATTTAAAAATTTTGTGCTTGGGCATATACTATGCATTTTGTTCACAGGGTTTAAACTTTATTGCATTGACATATAACTTATAAAAGTTCAGTTGAATTTCAGTTGACTCATTGGCATGATGTTACTTAGATAAGTGGTCATTGATTATAAAACAAATGTTTGCTGCGGAACTCTGGTGTTCAGCTAGGGTTAAAAGCCGTAGCATTGGTGTGTCTGTCTACCCTCTGAGCTGGAGCAGGGCCCTGATAGTGGAGGACACAGGAAAGGTCATTAACAAACTATTTACTTCATCTGTTGCCCAGGGGGAGCCCTACTGAAGACTCCAACTGGATGAGCAAGATGTTCAAGAAGAACAAACAAAAGACAAGTAGCACCAGAAAAGGCTTCCCAAGACACCCACCATCCAAAAAAACAGGCGGCAAAGTGCAGTGAGCATGACTAATGTTTCTCAAGTTCCATGGGGAAGAAAAGCTTTGGAAAGAGTCTGCAGGAAGATCACAAGGGGTAGAGGAAGAGTCAGCAAGAGCAGGTGTTAGGAACTGGACTTTGGAGTCGGACCCACCCAACACAAATTCCCTGCTCTGCCATAATCTTACTCAGTGATCATGCTTAGGACATGTGATCTTTCTAAGCGTCTATTTCCTGATCTATAAAATAGGGATAATATTGTGAGGGTTTAATGAGGTCAACATGTAAATTGCTTTGCAGAATGCATGACGTGTAATTAGCACTCAATAATTTAGCAGATATTAGGGTTATATGCAGAGGTTAACTAGGACTTCTCAGCTTCTGAATAGAACTTTATTTAAAAACCAAACTAGACAGGTGTGTAACCATGTGACCCTGAACATATAGAGATCCAAACTGTTGCCAACCTACAACTAAAAGCCCTAACTAGTGTAAGCCTGCTTCTTACAGCTTTTTGGTTATATTACCTTGTCATTGGTTCCATCAGTTAACCTTTATTGAGCACCTAATGAGTGCCAACCACTCTTCTGGGCTCTAGAAATAGCAAAGATGAATTGAACTCAATCCCTAACTTTCTTTTTTTTTTTAAAGATTTTATTTATTTATTTGAGAGAGAGAGATCACGAAAGAGAGAGCATGAGCAGGGGGTAGAAGGAGAAGCAGGCTCCCCGCCGAGCAGGGAGCCCGACATGGGGCTCCATCCCAGGACCCCGAGATCATGACCTGAGCCAAAGGCAGATGCTTTAACCGACTGAGCCACTCAGGCACCTCTCGATTCCCAACTTTAAGAGTTTACCCCAAAATTGAACTTTAGACCAAAGACAAGAGCCAAGTCTTAATTTTTTACTGAACTGTAACCTTGTTTTTTAAAGAGACATGCATACACACATACACACAAATGAAAAATGCCAGCTTCAAACGCAAACCAAGCCAGGAATCATCTACAACTATTTTACGGGATTATCAAAATATTCTCTGAATGGAACAGACCCACACTGCTATCTACTTTGCTTCAAGCCTTCATTGGTCAGGAAAATCCCCAAATCATTCTAAGTGACATCCTTCTGTGTTGTTCCTGTCCCAGGTGGGGATCCCAGGTGGGCAGAGAGATGTATCAGACAGATGAGGGTCAGAATCTCACCCTAGCAGCCACAGGCCCACTTTGAGGTCTGGGCAAGTAGGTACTTTGTGGGTGGGAGGAAGCAGTATGGTGGGAAGGAGATTCTCAGCTGCTGCAGGAAGTGGGGCAGACACGTGTGTCACTTTCTGGAGGTGCCCATCGTTTAATCCAGTGGGCATTTGGCAGTCCCCTTGGGGCTCATGGAATTAGTGAATCCTGGGATTAGTCTTGCTCTGTTCCTTGGTCTCCAGCCCCAAGGCTTCTTTGACTTTTTGAGTGTCTGTATCTCTGTCTCTAGGAGCTCGAGGTCAAGTGTGGTCAGGAGAACATAGGCAGGTCTGCTGTGGGGTTGGGGAAGCTTCCTTGGGGCTGGGAGTGCCGTCTAGAAGCCAGGCCCAGACTTGAGGCCCTTCATTCCAGGGCCAGGCCCCCTCCTGTACATTGGGGCAGTGGGACCCATGCAATTCAGCCAGAGCTCCCTTGGTCGATAAACTTCTAGGAATCAAGGTACTTTATAAAGAAGCAGACTGTGATAAAAACAAACAAAACAACATTCACAGCTGTGGGAAACACAGTAGGTCACACATGCCGTCTGCGGTGTTCCTTTATAGAACAGATTATGAAACTGCCTGGAAGCAGTTTGCCAGTTGACGTTCTTAGGCAATTCCATACAAATTCACTGCTCTGAGCTTCAAAGACCAGGGTAGAGGGTAGAAAAGAGAAGCTCAGGCGCCTGGGTGGCTCAGTTGGTTAAGCGACCGCCTTCGGCTCAGGTCATGATCCTGGAGTCCCGGGATCAAGTCCCACGTCAGGCTCCCTGCTCAGCGGGGAGTCTGCCTCTCTCTCTGACCCTCCCCCCTCTCATGCTCTCTCATTCTTTCTCTCAAATAAATAAAATCTTTAAAAAAAAAAAAAAGAAAAGAGAAGCTCAAAAAGGTTAGGCAGAGAGGAGGAGTGATCCAGAAAGAGAGGAAATCTGCTCATTTCCTAACAGAGTACAATCACAAGAGACCCTGTCACGTCCATGGGCTAGTCCTGTGCAACTTCTGGCCCTCAGCCGATATTCTTCCGAATAAAGAGGGGAGAAGCTAGAATAAAAGCTACAGGGTTGATGTTCCATACATTAATATCTCTCTCTCTCAACATGTTTCTTAAAAATTTTTATTTATTTATTTATTTATTTGAGAGAGAGAGAGTACTGGGGTGGGGAGGGGCAGAGGAAGAAGGAGAGAATCTCAAGTAGTCTCTGTGCTGAGCACGGAGCCTGTTGCTGGGCTCGATGCAGGGCTCCATCTCACAACCCTGAGATCATGACCTGAGCCAAAATCAAGAGTCGGACGCTTAACTGACGGAGCCACCCAGGTGCCCCTCCCTCTGTGTTTTTTAAATCAGATGTTCAAATTAATACTCTGATGCTGGTTGTATTAGTCAGTAATTGCAGTTTGATAATGCTACATAACAACCCCCCCCCATCTCAGTGGATTCCAAAACAGATGCTTCTTTTACTCTTTCAGAGTTCTGTGAGCTGTCTGGGATAGCTCTGCTTAGGCTACAAGTTGGGGTCGAGTCTGCTCCCTGTCCCTTTCATTCCAGGACCAGCAGATGTGCCAAATACGCTCTGCCTCTGGAGCATGGCTAGATATATGTGTCAGCCTGGCTTTCCTCTGCTAGCCTCAGCTCTCCTCCCGTAAGAGTTCAGTGGCCATCTGGTTCGGGTTGTGTAACGGGCCTCAAAGTGGCAAGACAGATTGAGAAATTCAGGGACTGCCAGAGGCCCCCAAAGGAAAAGGAGGAGGTCCCTCTTGCTAATTGCTACTCAAATCCTCTCAACAGCTACTAAGTCTGTCAGACTCTTCTGATTTCTACCATTTCTATGGCTAGAGAGCCCCCCTTTGAGTTACTATGGAATTTCCCCCTATGCAAATGGGAATGTAATGATAATAGCTAAAACTTACCAAGTAGTTATTATGGTCCAGGCATTATGGCACAGAGAGGGTAAGCAACATGCCCAAAGTCACACAGTAGGTAGATGGTAGAGCCAGGATCTGAATCCAAGTTGTCTGTCACCAATGTCTTGGTGTCGAGCACCAAGTGATATAGCCTCCCAGGGTCGAAGGAGCCCTGGAGTGAATCGGACGTCACAGGGTCTAGTCTACTTTGTCTGACTGGGCAGGGAGAGGCCTGGGGGTGCACTTGGAGGTGCACAGGCAGACATGGCAGGGATAGGGCAGGCTGGCTTGGGGGCCATGCTAACAAAGTGCACCTGGACTTCACCTGTGGTGCTGGGGAGTCATTACAGGGATTAAACAGAATGACACAGTCAGAGTTGAAAACCATCCAAGAATGGACAGGTCCTCATGCCAGCATTTCTCTGAGGTGAGCTCTGCAAGAGTCTTCCTGCAATTCCCTCGAGGGGGCCAATGACTGACTAGGGTCACACAGCAGGTGGAAGAGTCCTTGAAACTCGGGGCTTCCCATTTCCCCCTTTTTTTCCCCCCTTTTTGTCTCATTTCTCCTCACGTGTGATTTCTCGGCGTCTCATGTCCAGGTCTGCTCCCTGCCCACTCGACTTCTCTCTGCTCTCCACTTCCAAGACAGTTTGGGTCACCTACAGGCCTCACCCCAGCTGGATCCAGGAATACAGCGACCCTGAGGTGTGGAACTGCCCAGGTGCCTGCTCTATTCCCAGATGTTGCGGTGACCTCTGAGCTCCGTCCCCCAGTTTCCTTTCTGACCCCACCCACCTCTTCCTGGTCATAGTCAAAGCCAGCACTAGCCCATATATTGCCTTGTGCGCTAAGAAAACTGTACCCTTTCCTGGAGAACTTGATTGCCAGCTGCCGGAAGATTGTGATAATATACTGATTTTGTTAAAACAGTTGGCCGCCACCTGCTAGAAATCTGTATGAATGTCATACAAAGCTACCAAACTGTACAAATAACACAGAAAACTGTACAAATAACATGCAGCATAAATACGTCCATGAGATGCCTCCCCTGTGTACTGGCAGGGTCTCCTTGTGCAGTCTGCAGTCTACACAACTGCGCTCAGCGCTCTGGAGGTCACTCTACTTCTTTCCCCTTCCTGAAAAAACAAATATTAATCAGACTTTTGTAAATCGAATAATATTTCAAACACTCTTTTATCAACTCCTGCTCTGCAAATGGGATTCTCCATTTGCAAAAAAAAAAAATACCTTGTATAATAAAGTGGGATTTGTTAACTGATTTTTTTTATACAAATTGAGATTTCCAATTTCCACGCATCAGACTGGCTAGAATGGGGCCTGGCTACTTGCTTGGGGCTGCCTGACACATAGGAAGCTGTGAGGGATGTTCTCAGCGGAAATAAGGGGAGGAAAGTCCTCGATGAGGGACTTAGAAATGATGAATCTCTATCCTTTTTCTAGGAAGCTGTGAACAAGGAGAGAACTTGAGCTGGAATGGGAGAGAACATGATGACCTCAAGGTAGAGCCTTCTCCCCAAGGCTCTCAGACGCATCCCCCTCACCCTAGGCCTTTGGGGGACCAGGTGTCGCCCACTACCAAACCTGTTGGTGTGGAGGGCCCTGCTTCTCCTGGGCAAGCACCTCCTTGTCTAAACATCCTCTCAGCTTCTCTGCGCTCCTCCAGCCCTTCCCCTACTCTGCTCTGGACAAACAGATGGACACCAACACAGATGGGCTCTGAAAAGCCCACAGCACATCCTGCTCCTGGCTGGCTGGGCTCTGGGCCTTCCTCCCAGCCTCAGCCTGAGTTTGCTTCTTCGAGATAGACTGCATCCATCCTTGGCCCCCCAGGATCTAGTCTTCAGGCTAAACTCTTGGGGGTTGATGCACTTTCCTCTCTGATGTGATGTCAAGAGACCAAGTTCTTTTGTTTTGTTTTGTTTTTAATTCTCACAGTGGACCAAAGGCTTGATTTGCAACCACTGGACTGTCTCGGCTGCTCACCAGAATCACTTGCGGAGCCGATCAGGCATGAGGTCTCTAAAAGCTCCCCAGGGCTTGTGTGGTGCAGCCATGTTGAGCAGGCCGCCCTGGCCTCCCCTGAGTCCCGGTGTGGTTGTAGAGGAAACAGGAGGCCAAATGTCCCTTCCCTCCCCATCCCCCAGCAGGAGGGCAGCATGAGGGCAGACTCCATCTGCTGTTCACATCTCAGTGAAAATGTTCCATGAGAAAGACACCTTCAGCTTCAATTTTTTCAACCCATCCAGAAAAAAAATGAGCCCCACTGCTTGCTGGAGTGCAGATAACTTCCAGCCCTATCCAGGCCCAGTAACGAACCCCGGGCTGCCCACAGGCCTCAGATGTATTTGCTTAGCAAACCCTGGAATGCAAAACCCAGAGGACTGGGTGCAAGACAGCCCTGACCTTGGTTGGGGCCTCTGGGGGATGCATGCAAATGTTAGCCACGGAGGGTGGGAGGCTGTGGCAAGGCGGCCTGCTGGAGCTTACATTTAAGGGGACCATGTCACGGAGCAGGAGTCCACACAGGCACCCTTAAGAAGGTTCTGCCAGGAAGAACCTAACTGATATGGAAAACAAAGACAAAAGAAAAAATTAAATTTCCTTACTGCTCACAGCCCATTGACAAGTCCTTGAAACAGGCAGAGTGACCTTCCTCTGGGAGCTCAGCTGCCTCAGTGTTGACACTTTGCTAAGGGCAAAAGGCCATCTTCTTACCCCAACCCCGCAGGATCCTGTGAGTCTACTTTAACATCTAAGCATTCCTGTGGAAACTTCCTTTACCTCTACCCCCCAAGATACATGTTGGCAATCATCCTCCAAGCATATGGCCCACTGATCTACATCTAAAGGGGCTCATGACCAAGTTTTTACTAAACAGTAATAAATGACCTTTTCCTAACAATAGCTAGCCCCCTCTAGCCCCCTCAGGATCCTGGAAACCTTGTTTCCAAAATACTTTGGAGGCCTGCGCTGTCCCCAACCCCCTCCCAACTTGAAAGTATATAATCAGTCACCCCTCACAACCCCAGTGCAGCTCCTTCTGCCCATGGGTCCTGTCCCCGTGCCTTAATAAAACCACCATTTGGCACCGAAGACGCCTCAAGAATTCTTTCTTGGCCATCAGCTCCGAACCCCAACATTTCCTACATCACTAACTAACTGTACCTTTGAGAGGCTGAAAAGAATCAAACCTCGGGTGTTCCCTCACCCTCTGCCTCCTCTGGTACTCTGAATCTGTGGCTCGGACCAGTCAAGGGAAGCATCCTGGGGGCCACGTGGGTGGGGAAAGACAGGTCCCACCTGGAGTGGCCCACCTGGCTGCGGTCTCCTGGCGTTTCCCCCCAGGAGTGGTCTTGCAGTTTGCTGGCAGCTGCAGCCCCCGAGGTCTTGAGACATGTGAACGGGAGGAGGGGGAGGGTTTCAGTCTTGCGCAACTCTGGAATGCTTATTACCTGGTGTGCAAAGGGGTATTGAACATAACAATCATTGTTGTTCTAAATTAAAGCCTGTATTTAGAGCTCAGATGCCTTTATGTTAGAGTAATGTTACAGTTACAGGTATGGACAAATCCCCTTGTATATTCTCCTTCATTTTGCTTATTTCCCTTTTTCCCATTACAGAGTAAATAAGAGAACTCTTCTTGCATTAGTTCCGGGGTTGCTAGATAAAATACAGGGCATCGTGTTAAATTTGAATTTCAGATAAACAGTAAATATTTAGTATGAGGAAGACCCCAGTATTGCTACTATTTGTTGTCTGTCTGAAATTCACATTTAACTAGGCCACCCATATTTTTATTTGCTAAATTTGGCAACTCTAATTAGTTCCTTTCTCCTTATAATGCCTTTTTTTCCCCTAAAGCCAACACTAGTGCGTTGTTGTTGTTGATGTGCCAGTCACTGTACTCTGAAATTGGAGGTCTCACTGGTGCGGAGGCCAGGGGCAGAACACTCTCTGGTCTTCCAAACAAGCATATCCGAACCTCTACAGCAGCCCTCCCTGTAACTCAGTGCACATCCCAAACTCAACCTGGTCTTGGCTGACGCATTTATCTCTGACTTACTCGCTTAGCCTCCTGACTTCTCAGGGTCAGAAATTAGGTTAATTATGTCCTGATGGCGCTTACCCACCTTTTCAAAGCCTTTCAAAGCAGCGGGGTCTCCCATGCACCTCACTGCTCTTGAGAACCTCCATGGCGTGAGTTGAGGGAGCCCCGCCCGCTCTCGCACAATGGTGTCTCCGCCACCCTATATTCCTACTGGCGCAAAATCCCTATAACGAGTGAGGTCCATGAGCACCCCGAGGGCAGGGATTGTGCCTTTTGCATGTGTGTATTGCACTGAGCTAGATCAGACCTGACACGTAGTAAATGCTCAGTAAATATTGGTTGAGTGAATGAACTAATGGATTAGACAGTTCGGGAAGGCACTAAAACGGGGGTTCTGGGAGCTGGATCCTGGCCTGGTTCTGTCTGTAGGTGGCCTCGTGACCTTGAACAAGGCATCCGCTCATTCTGAGCCCCAGCCTCCACGTCTATGAAGTGAGGTGCTGCCCTCTCCTGCCCCCCTCAGAGCATTACAGTGAGCCTCCAAGGTTTGGGAGCGGAGAGGTGGCTTGGAAAGAAGACAACCTGTGTACTATGTACACCAGAAGGCCGCCTTCCCCAGGGAGCCGCTGGAAGGGCTCACGTGTTACCTGAGAGTCAAGAGAGGAGGCCTTCAATGCCTTTCAGCAGAGACCGCATTCTCTAGATCAAAACCCAGACACTGTATTCTGTCCATTTTTACCTTGGTTCTGAGTGACAGTTTGGGCACCAAAATTAGGGACTTAATAAAACAGGTGATGTAGACTCAAGACTGACCCAGATGTTCCTGGACATACCATTAACTGTCATCTTAACAGTCACAGAGTGGGAGAATGTCAGGTCCAGAGGCAAGTATCATGTCCCTGAGGGCCTCAGCCTGCAGGGAGCTGGACTAAAACCCAGGTCTCCTGATGCTCAGGGCACTCCATTACTGTCTCAATAAGTTGACATCCCAAGAGGGGGACACCTGGGAAGCAACCAGAGAGGGCCCCCAGGCGGGGACAGGGAGGCTGGCCCTCACAGTCTCGAAGATGCCAGACCGGCCCAGATGTGGCAGGTGGCCTCCCATCTTGCCACCGTTGTGAATCATCCAGATGAGACCTTGGTGCAAGTCAATTTCTTTATTTGCTTAAATAACAGTACAAAAATGAGACTCAGATGCCAGCATCAGGGACTCATACCAAATACACATACAACTTAAAGAACATCATCCCAACTAAGAAACTATGTACAGAAGGTTCCTGACCCTCATTTCAAAACTGATTCTGATCCTTCGCATTTGGAGGCTGTGTTCCTGAACACTAAAATAAATCCATAAATAGATCACTTCTCCCCCACTTCTTAGAATCAGCAATAAAACTAAATGACTTGTAGAATATGCTTTGTCGAACTTCCTAAAACTTTGCCTCAGGTTTGAGGCCAGTCCCAGCTAAGTGCCCAAGGCCTCTCTGCCCTTGGTTTCACCCCCTCTCCAGTCCTACCCCACAGTGATCACCATGTTCAACATAGCAATACAGTGTCCAGTGAGGGTAATAAGAGTGAGTCTAGATTTTAACACTCTCTCCCCTTTGGCCATGTGTTCCATGCAATGTCCAATGGCTGTGTTTATAGCCCTGTTGGGCATGCATGTAGATAATGGACATGTGGCAAACTGCCCATCTGAGCCAAGCTGTTCAAACTATTCAGTTTTGTAGAAGGCAGAGCCTCTAACAGCCCACACCTCACCTTTGTACAAAAACAAAAAGGAGCCCCTTTCTCAGGACTCTTTACTGCCACCAGGTAGAAAACTGCTATCATAAATCTACAAATCTACAATGTCTAGGAAGTGAATAGCACTTCCTGGGGTATGATATTCTTGAGCAGTGCACACCCATACAACCATCCGTGGCAATCCAGCTTAAAGCCCTTCCCTATTTCCTGAAAACTACCCAGATTGTAGCTATAATAAGAATAGCAACATACATGGACATGGCACTCTTCACATTCATTTTCTCACCGACTCTTGGCAAACCCCCATGAGATGGGAGAGGTGCAAGTCATCAGCTTCACTTCTCTGGACATGGAATTATAGGACACAGGGTTGGAAGGATTCTGAGACCAGTGATACCCAATCCATAGATCTTCTCTGTCTGAGGCCTGCAGATTTCCTGAGAGGTGTCTGTAAATCCATATGGACATTAAGCACTGTTGGCCAACGAATAAATTACTTGTTGCACGTGGATGCACATCTGGTTAAATACATATGGGTATTTTGCTGAGAGATTAACAAAAATTTATTTTAATAAACTAGACTTGGAACGCCTGGATGGCTCAGTCGGTTAGGTGTCTGCCTTCGGCTCAGATCATGATCCTGGGGTCCTGGGATCGAGTCCCACATTGTGCTCCTTGCTCAGCAGGGAGCCTGCTCTTCCTCTGCTTGTCACTCCCCCTGCTTGTGCCCTCCCTCTCTCTGACAAATAAATAAATAAAATCTTAAAAAACAAAAACAAACTAAGACTCATTTGAAATTGTCATCTAGAAAATGCCAGCCGGCCTTCCACATGATAGTAGGCATAGTTGTAGCCCCTACAGATCAGGAAAATACATGATAGTAAAAAATAAGGGTACATAAGTTGGTACTAGGGTTAACCCCAGAATGTGAAAGCCCTGACTCCTGGTTCAATGCTCAGGACCAGTGCCTGTCAAGGTAGCTCCCCATTTCCGCCCTAGCCCCCAATTTAGAGAGAGAACTACGGGTTGCGCAATTCTAGCGGAAGACCAAGGCCTCCCAAGGAATGCCTGGCAGAATCACCTGGATCTCAGGAGCTCTCCCACTCATTCGTCTGGTCATTCATTCCTTCAATGAGGACTTAAGGACTGCCTCCAGCTCAGTGGGGTGTATTTAGCCACTGAGTGGAAGCACCAACCTCCCCCCGTTTAAAGAGACTTCAGCATGATGGAGTCAGAAGGAATCTGATGGGTCGTGTACATAGACTTGCCCAGAATCCAAGGTCTGGAGTGGAAGACAAACAAGTCCGGGGTCTTGCAGCAAGTTTGGGGCAGCTCAGCAGGTGGAGCTCTGGTCTCCTAACTCCCGGTGCAGTGCTCTCCTTCCCCCAGCATTGCCTCTGCGTCCAGCTAAGTGGAAGAGGGATTCGTGTATCCCAGTCTCAAGAAGCCCACGATGGCACACGTATGCAGATGGCCATCCATCCTTGTCTTCGTTCATATCTGGGGAGGGTGTCATGAAGCATCCTCAGAGGGTCCTGCCTAAAGCCACCAATTGTTTGAATAGTTCAAGGGAGCTTGAGTTTAAAGCATAGCTTTTAATCTGGACTTTGGATTTCAAGACTTGCGATGTTCTGGAAGGAGAAAAAGAACATAGGTTTTAGCCATAGCCCCAATTACTTGTGGGTCCCACTCTGATAACAACAGACTTCTAATTAACATATCAACACAGCACACTAGCTGTCCCCTCTGGGTCTGGACTCACTCAGTACCTCCTATCTGCAGTGCTCTCCTGGTCCTTTCTCCCCATCTATAGCTTCTCCATCCTCAAAGGTCAAAATCTATGCCTGCCACCCCCTGGAAGGCTTCCAGGACCAATGGCTTCACTGGCCTCAGTTACCACTAATTTGGCATTTTACTGGTACTTAATTTCATCATCAGGAAACATTCTGTCTTTTCCTATAGCAGAACCATCCACAGGCCCTCACAGCACCTTGCACAGCAGGGCCCAGTGGAGGTTCTCAACACCTATTGGTCGAATGAGTGAGGGAGTGAATGAACGAATGGTTAGTAAAACCAGAAGATGAAGCTAGGGCTACTGAGGATGTCAGAGCTGTTGTTTCTATTAATATCTTTCACAAAGAATTCAGATCACTCCATAAGCTATTACCTAACCCATCCTAGAGGGCAAATTATCCATAATATCCCCATATCTGGGCAAAGATAATGAGGCTGAGGAAAGAGAGGTCGAAGGTCATAAGGAGTTCCCACCAGGAAAACAAGCCAACATAGAGCAGACCATTTGAATGACAAGATAGGAATATTATGAAATCAGACCAGCTTTCTTGAAAGACGCATCACATGACTTTGAAAGGTAATTCCAGGAGAGGCAGAGTGTTTGCATGATGGTGACATCATTGTAATAAAGGCCTAGAGACCATCTGGATATAGAAGTTCTATTTGTCCAATGCCAACAAACAGAATGCTTCCTCCCCTTTTTTTTTAAAGATTTTTAAAATTTATTTATTTGAGAGAGAGAGGGTATGAGCAGGGGGAGTAACAGAGGGATAGGCAGACTCCCCACTGAGCAGAGCCTGATGCAGGGCTCAATCCCAGGATCCTGAGATCATGACCTGAGCCAAAGGCAGACGCTTAACCGACTGAGCCACCCAGGTGCCCCAACACTGCTTCCTTCCTTTAATGTCACGTCTTCATTCGGTAGCTTCTGCAGTAAAGATCTGGGTCAAAATGTCTGTAGGCAAGTTACCTTAAGTGATTTTGAAAAAGGCGGGGAACACTGCTCATCAGAGTCTACCAGACAACATGAAAACTCAGACTTTAAAAAAATCAGTGAGAAGTATTATTTCTAAAGGGACCATCTCAGAGCCTTAGGGGCAGGGGCGGTTATTAGGAAAAGCATGAAACCGATCAGAAGAGTGAGATCGACGGCAACGAGAAGCTATTCTTAATCAATCAACCAAGACAAGGTCAGTGAAGGACCGCCCCCCTTGGAAGCCTTCCAGAACCAACGGCCCATGGATCCTCATCTACCTCAACCATCCCTCACTTGACATGTAATCTTACTTTGCTTCGTCGTTTAAATTTTATGATGGTCTTGAATTTGGGAAGCCAACCAGCACAACCCATGAAACAACAAGAGGGCAAGCTAGGGTACCCCGTCCAGTAATCCATACCGAAATCATAAAGTATAGAAATGCACATACAATCAGGGACCAGAGCCAAATAAAGCAGATGCTAAGGATCAAGTAAAGCCAGTGAGGGCTTTGGAAAAGAGAATGGTCACGTGGGTGTAGAATCATCTCACGGGGCCTCAGCAAGGAGATGGCATGTGAGCTAGCCCCCCAAAAGCCAAGAACTCAGCAGGGGAGGGGAGAGGCCAGTAAGGGCGATCCTGCTGGGATCTTGAGCCTCTTGTCACATGTTCTCACCTGCTGGGCCACCGGGCACAGGAGGTGGGTATAGCTGTGCTGGCTATGGCCAGAGCACAGGCCCATGAGGCTGAGGACGGCGTGGCTATTGTTGCCGGCAAATTTGTTAGACGGGCCAAAGGCAAAGTGGTAGGGTCCCTTGGTGAGGTCCCTGTCCGGCTCTGCAGGGTGGGCCTTCCGGCTCTGCAGGGTGGCTGCCAACTTCCTGAGGGAGGAGTCGGAGAGCTTGTGTAAAAACCTCTTAAAGCTGGGGTGTCGCCTGATCTGGAAGTAGAGACGGAGGCAGACCATCATCAGTGATGGTGGCAGGTAGCCCCCTCCCACCAGCTGCCCCCCCCCGCCCCCCATCCAGCTCCATGCACCCAGGCTGGGCGCCTCCTTGTCCCTGGGATGAGCTCCCCTGCTAAATGCCTCCACTCCCTCCAGCCTCTCAGAATCTGTTCTGCGAGGTTCAACTCCAAGCAGCAGAACAACGTGGGGGGTGGTGGACAGAAAGCAGGTCTTTGTATAAGGGATGCTCAAATAGCATTTACTAGCCATGTGACTTCTCCGAGCCTCAGTTTAGTCATGGGTAAAATGGCAGTAATAATGCCCCGCACCCACATGCAGAGTTGTTGCGGGGAGGGGATTAAGTGAGATCCTTTATGTAAAATATTCCGTGCGGAGTAGATGTTGGATGAATTTCAGTTCCCACTCTAAGTCACCTCTTCTTCATACCTAAATGTGCTAGGTTGCGTTCCCCCAGAGACTAGGGCTCAGGTGCAGGTAGTTTAGGTGGTAAGAGATGCTACGAAACACCGATGGGGGAATGGAGCTCTGGGACAAGGATGGGAAGGCAGTCCACACACACTAGCTACTGAGCCTGGTCCTCACTGGCCACTCCAGGAGCCGGTGTAGAGCACACTCTCCAGAGTTATCCCTGCAAGGGGCAAGGGAGCTGAGGTATGTATACACCAGGTCCCAGGAGCCATGGGTTGAGGGCTGCTCCTCAGGAGGTGGGGGGTGATCATTCTGGCCTACCATGTGGGTGGTAAAATAGTTCCAGAGGCCAGTCCTCAGGCAAAAGAATGTGGGTGCTGGCAGTGGGGAGCTGGGCCAGCGAGCACCGTGGTGGTAAAGCGAGGCACTCACAGTGCCCGCTATGCTCATGACCCATCTATGACCTGTGCTCATATCTGATACCTCATATGTGATCTGTGTTTGTCTCTCCAAATAGACTGTGAGGTTTTCAAAGAGGCAACTTTCTGTTATAGGCTCTCTAGCAGGAGGGGAAAATCTAAAAGCTTGAGAGAATTGGAGACCATATTGATGCTGAAATGTGTGCCAAGACAGAGTGAAAAAGAAGCTAGCACAGGACAAGATCAGGGGGTACTGGTGGACCGGACTTGGGGTAGGAGGCTTCCAGGGAGGTCAGACATGAGCTGAACTTCGGGATTTGGATTGGGGGAAGTCCTGGCCGGCAGGGTGAGCTGCATGGGCATGACACTATTTTAAGCGAACATTTATCTCATCTCCTATGTGACTGGCATTTTCTATATGTACATTAAGCTTTGTCAAGTAGATAATTACCCCCATTTTGCAAAAGAGAAAACCGAGGCTCAGAGAGGTTAAGGGACGACGTGCCCAAGGTCACCTGGATGCAGAGATGGGGATTGAACCCAGGCCTCAGTTGTGAGGTGATGAGGCCCCCAGGGCCAGCCTTGGGGGGACTGAGCAGTCCTTACCTGCTCCCCCAACTGGTCATCCACTTCTTGGAGATGATCCACCAGCCCCTGAATGATCAGCTCCTCTAAGGAAAATAAAGAAAGATTCAGGGACTGTTGACAAGTTCTATAACAACACATCCTCCCATTACAGACGATATGTTGTCTCTACAACACAGTACACGGATTAGCTCTGAAGGGCGAAGAAAGATTCCCCGAAACTAGGGCTAAAGCATGAAAGCTTTATTTTGAGTTTGCTTTATAGAAATTGAAAGGATGTTGGCCAGTCAAGCCTCACCTCAGCTCCATTTAACACATGGGGAAACTGAGACCTCCCAATGTCCCCTATCCAGGTTACAGAGTAGCATGGCCAGGCATGGAAGTTGGGACCAGGAGCAGCCAATCAGAAAGCAGGGAGAGGAAAGACCACAGCCCCAGATGCAACAAGAATACACAGCCAGGGCTGTAAGCGGCCACATACACATGGCTGCTCATACCAAGACCTAATTGCAAATATTCTGGGTATTTGTGGTCCTTTTTTTATAAACTGTTGGCAGCTTGAAATCAGCCATGGTGGGAACACTTACACCATAGAAATCTGCAAATGCTACGTATCAGGGCTCCCCCACCAGGCCCACCCTCAGCCTCTTTGCCAGAACACCACTGGTTATGAGACCCAGGGCAAGCCGGGAGTTTTATATGAAACATTCAAGCAAACCAATGCAGTGAGGTGGGGTGAAGTGACATCCCACGGAATAGACAGGTGTTCTCTAGCGGAAGAGAACTCTCCACCTGCAACTCTGCCCCAGGAGCCCCAGTTGAAAGGCCAACCCTGCCTCCTCCCCGCCCCGCTAGAGTCTCCTGGGGTATTGATCACCAGCCTTCCCAGATCCTACTCGAATTCACCCTACGAGATCCACGCAAATAGAAGCCCCATGGCAGCCGCCCCAGGAGAGGGCAGCCCAGGAGAGGGCAGGGTGGTACTGACTAGATTCGAACACTTCATCCGGCTGCAGTCCCTCCTCTGGCTTGTGGCCCCTGGTCTTGGGGGGCGCTTCTGAGGATCCAACAGGTGTCCCTTCTGTAGGCGAGGACTCCTGGAACTCAGCATCGTCCAGATCTGAGGGCAGAAAGGAGGTGGTGTGAGTGTGTTTTGCTCCTGTCTCAAATCCACAGGCACATTACGGGGGGTCCAGGTTCTGACAAGAAGCTGTCCAAAGGCGCTGGCACCAGAGGGGTCCTGGTTTCCCAGGCTCCTCAGCGAGCCCCCAGACCTCCAGGGCCCGCCTCAAAGGAGCTCACAGTGCCTTCTTTAGCCCCTCCAGGAACCTCATTCTTCCCTTCCGCCAGCAACCCCCTCTGCCTCCTCACAGTCTGGGAGGAAAGAGAGCAGGCCCACCAACAGATCCCACCCGATGAGCCCACTTCCCCTTTGCTCTTTGCTGAGTCACTTCGCCTGGGTGAACCTCACTTTCTCCATCTGCCAAATGGGAATAACAAGACCGACTTCACAGGTTGCAAGGGGGCTGAATGAGATAACACGTGTGAGGGGGGCACGTAGGAGGCGCTCCGTCAATGTCAAGGGAATCACGGTGCACCTCACACGGCAGAGTAGTGAAAAAGCAGAGGCCCAGGCCATAGCCTACTTCATCCAACCCGGGTCTCTGTGCTTTTCTATTAGCTTTCGGGTGAGTCTGATGCCCTTCGCTGATAAACCCATGCACGGCTCTCAAACTGCATTTTTAAAGTGTTTGTGCGTTTATGTATTGGGGGGGAGGGCTTGCGTTGTGGGTGGTGGGTCCAGCTGGCGCCCGGCACCCACCGCTCTCCACAGCCCTCCCACACCTCCCCACCCCTCTCAGAGCAGAGAGCCAAAGTCAAGCCTGAGGCTGAGGCCACACAGCTGGCCAAGCCTACCCTGGGGGAAGCCTGGGGCCAGAGGCAGCCTCTGTGACCATGGCATCGCTGGGCCTGCTCACCGAGGCTGCTGGAGGTGGAGGGCTGATGGCCCCCCATGCACATGGGCAGGAAGCTGGGCCTCTTGTGCGGCCGGGACTCCGGGCTGGTGGCAGCTGCAGCCCCCGCTCTCTTCGGTTCCTTGGAGCCGCGTTTCTTATGAGAATAGGCTTTTCTGGAGCTGGACTTTTTCTCATGCGATTTTCTTCTGCAGGATGGGGACAGGTTTTCTACAGCCACCTCCGGTTCCTGGACTTGAAGCTGCTGTGGGGGAGAGGAGAGAAACTGAGTCAGGGCCCCCAACCTCAGTGAGGACATTGCAAGCAAGCTGGGGAAAGAGACCAGCACCCCCTGAAACAAACGGAGACCCCGCTGTGGACCAGAGGGCACGGCCTGGCCAGAACAAGTGTGGCCTGCAGCCACGGGGTTGGGGAGGCTTCGGGAAGGACCTGGAGCCTGGCTCTGGAAAGATGGAGCATTGGGGGAGGGGCAGGGAAGTTCTTAGGCCAGGCAGGGGTGGGGGTGTCCATAGCGAGGGTCAGGATCTATGTGGGGAATGTCAGCCTCACCTTCTCTCCCCACTGCTCCTCCGCATCCTGGAGTAGGGTAATGATCTTCTGGATGAATTCTTCTAAAAGAGAACAATAGGGTGGCTTGCACTTGAGTGTGGAGAAAAGCTTTTCTGCAGTCAGTCCTCACTTCCTAAGGCCCAAGCGGCTCCCTGGGTGAATCTGCCAGGTCTCCAGGCTGCTGAGCAGCTTGCCCTTGTCGGTCGTCCCAGGCCTGGCCATGGGGACGAGGGGCATTGCTCAGAAGTGGCCTGAGGGCAGAGCTGCTTCCCTGGGAATATAGCCACCTCTTCGTTGGTCAGGCAGCACCCACATGGGCCACGTTAAGTGTGAGGAAAATAACGTAGGCGCCTGCCTCCAGGAGAAGGGGTCTCGAGGCCATCTGGAAGGGCCTGGTCCCCACAAGTCGCCTGGCCCAGCACCTTCCTCGTCTTCCACTTAGAACAGTGGCCCTTCTCAATTCCCCTTCGAGGCACAGTTTCTGTGAGAAGCCAACAAGGCAGGATGGGGGATGTGGGCGAAGTGGATCCAGATCTGCATCTGGAAGGATCTCCAGACACGCAGAACTGACAGTGATTCTATGGTTCCCGCCTCGGCTCTGCCAATGGTGAGAAAGTAATAGTAACAGTGCCGGCAACCACCGTCCGCTGAACTTCACCCTTAGGGCCCCTACCCTCCCGCCTACCCTCTGGACTTCTCCTGAGGCCTTGTTCTCAAGCTGGACTCTGAACCACCACAATAATAACAATAAAGGGCAGCTAACATTTAGTAGCTCTAAATAGCTTATTCACTGTGCTGAGTGCTCTGGACCCTGCCTGCTGAGCTCAGAGGAAGTCAAGGCCAGGTCACTGCCTCTCTGCATGGGGAGGGGTCAGGCCAGATGATTTCCAAGGGGCCTCTAAGAAAACGAGGGGGTACTAACGGAATTCCAAGGCTCTGTTCATCTGCAAGTCCTCTTCGGGTCCCTGGCTTCCTGCTTGGGCAGCAAGCTCGAAGGAACTTGGAGCCCCGCTGTCTGCAGACAGGGCCTCTTGGACATGGGGTTCCTCCGAACCTGAGAAGTGAGAAGAAATGGTGGGTGTGTTTCATTTGGGTGAGGGTGTTAACTAATGCACAGAAGTTAGCAGAGGTTCCAAGTTTCACTCCATGGCTAGAGTGTGCAAAGGTCTTGCTGGGGCAGAGGTGAGCGGTGGGTCAGGGTCAAGGCTCTGATATACTGGCCCAGACCTAGCTCCCTTATCCCTTTGCACTTCCTTACAACAGGTTTCCTGGGCTTTGCCCTCCTCTCCTCCCTCCCCTCGTAACCCCATCCTCCTCCAGCATCTAGGCCTGGAGAGTAAAGGCCTGATTCCATAGCATGAATTAAAGCAGCAGGGCCAGAATCTCCCTGCATGAGGATATCTCCCCTCGTGGCCTGAAATTCCACCACTGCGGCTCTGTATTTGGTGTGAAGCATTGCCCCTTCTTTTTAAAATGTAAATTCCCCTGGCCAGACCAAGTGGCTGGGCTAGGCCATTCCTCCCTTCCACCCAGGGTGATCCTTTCTCTCTAGCTCTGGTTCCATCACTTGGGGGCCATGTGACCTTGAACACATTGTTTTACCTCCCTAAGCCTCAGTTTCCTCATCTGTAAAATGGGGATAACAATATGGCCACAAAAGCTGATCGAGTATAGATACACAGTACGGAAGTGTCTTATTTTACAGATGAGAGATGGGGAATGATGTAGAAAGTCCAGCTCATAGCCCAGGTGTCCTGCCTCCCAGGTTGTAGCTCCTTCCTACACATGCTACCCCCTGCCAGGGTAGAGAGGCTGGAGCTGTGGAGAGATGAGGATGGCTAAGGGATTACTCAACACAGTTTCCACTGCGGGCTTACCCGATTGCCTGCCTAGACAGTGAGGTTTCATTTGTGGAGGTGACCTGCTACCATCCCTTTCTCCTCCCCACTGCCCTCCCCACACTGCTCAGGGCAGAGCGAAAGTCAGAACTGGGATGGCAGCCCTTAAAATGGCCAATTCCAACCCTGGAGAAGGTTCCAGAGCTGGAGGCAGCTGCAGTGTTGCTATGGTAACTCTGAGCCTGCTCACCAGGGCTGCTGGAGGCGGAGGGCTGATGGCCCCCCCCCCACAGGGGCAAAAAGTTGGGCCTCCTGAGTGGCCAGGACTCCGGGCTGGAAACATCTGCAGGCCCCACTCTCTTAGGCTCCTCGGAGCTGTGTTTCTTATGAGGAAAGGCTCTCTTGAGGCTAGACTTCTTCTCTTGGGATTTCTTCCTGACGGCTGGCACTGGGTTCTGTGGAACCACCTCTGGCCGAGGAGCTTGAAGATGCTGTGGGAGAGATGAGAGAAACTGAGTCAGGCCCTGACCTTGAGGAGAGGGAAAAGCTCCCCGAGAAGCAACTGAAGAGCAACCAAGTGCTTTAAGGTGGCCCTAGGTGAGGGAGGTGACAGAGTCCAGAGCCAGGGAACACGGAAGCCTGGAAGGGCAGATGGGGTTTGAGCATGGAAGGGGAGGAGGAGGAGGGGGAGGAGGGGGGAGGAGGGGGATGGAAAGGAAACAGCAAGCCTCTGGGGGTCAACACAGACCAATTGCTCCTTACCTCCTCCTCCCACTGGTCTCCCACTCTTTGGAGAAGTTCCACTATCACGCTGATGATGGTCTCCTCTGGAAGAAAGTGAAATGCACCCAGTTAGTCTTTCTCCATGTACAGAGCCCTCTTTCTAATGACTGTCTTGGACTTCTGAGATCAACTTAGTCCTTCTGTATTAAGTGAGGGCGCTCTTAAAACAGCTCCTCAGGCCACAGAAGTGGGGAAAAGCACCATGTCCCAGGAGCTAGTCCTTCTGAGAGAGACTCGGGAGATCCAAAGGAAAAGGGGAGTTGGCCAAAGCATGAACTTTTATGCAGGCCATCTCAGGTCAGTCCTTCAAGAGTTCAACCTGTACCCCATTATTTCCTTTGACCTTTACAGATTTGTAAATATCTGCTTTGGGTTCAGCAAGCTGTGTGACCTTGAGTACATCTCTTAACTTCTCTGGGCCTTCATCTCTTTCCCTGTGAAGGGTGAATCATAATCCCAGTCCTGCTTCCCTCAGATGGCTATCAGGCCACCAAGGAACTGTGCTTGGAAATACTGTGGGAGCCTAATGCTGATCTTCCCACCTGCAAAATTCCAGTGGGGGAAATGGTGGAGACCCAGCCTAACTAAGGCGGAAGATGGAGGGACCCCAGCAGGCATGACACAGATGGCCTGCCATGTCGATGCCTCCACCAAGTCTTTACGGAGAAACCACAAACAACATAAATGGTTTTCTCTGATACCCGATCGACTGATCCAAAGACAATGCGCCCAGAGTAGCCTCTGCTAGCCGCCAACTGACCGGTTTATATGAAAGAAGGTGCAAACAAGACTCCCTGGTCCCGGGCTGCCTGCAGATTTTGTCACCCCCCATTTCCCTCCCTCACTCCTCTTTCATTTATAAATCCTGTTTGGCCTTTTTTCCTTGACTCAGTCTACCAGCTGATTTCCTCTGGTGTGAAAAAACAATTAGCACGTAAAATACACAGCTTGCAGACTAGCCAACTAAATGCCTTTTAGTTATTCTTCAACAGATGCATAGATGTTTTATTATCTTTTAAAATATGCCCATTCTTTTTTTTTTTTTAAAGATTTTATTTATTTATTTGAGACAGAGAGAATGAGAGAGAGAGAGCACATGAGAGGGGGGAGGGTCAGAGGGAG